GAGAGATTAATTAAGCAATTATATATGTATTGTCTGCACTGTATTAGCAGTATATACTCTATATAGAGTATATACTGCTAATACAGTGCAGACAATACATTTACAATTATACTAACATGAATGTATTAAATGATCTGTATGTAGCCCTGTACTATGGATCATTTAACCCATTCATGTTAGCAGAGGATCATTGTAAATGTATTGTTGCAGGCACTCTATATGTACATGTACTATATACTACATATAGAGTGCACTGAACAATAGATTTACAATTATCCTCTGCTAATATGAATGGGTTAAATGATCCGTAGTACATGATATGTAGCCCTGTACCCCCTTTTCCACTTACAGAGCTAGGTTATTTTTCTTTTAAATAAATATTAATGTAATTGTATTGGTATCTATCTACCAGTAGCTTCCTCATTTCCCACCCTCGGCTTATATTCGGGTCAATACTTTTTCCCAGTTTTTTTTGCTAAAATTAGGTACCTCGGCTTATATTCGGGACGGCTTATACTCGAGTATATACGGTATGTGTCATAATTTGCCCTTCTGAAGAATTGTTTTTTATTCAATCAGATATATCCTATTCAACGGTAGTGATGGTGGTTTAGAGGCTTTCCATTATTTCAAGATTTGGCTCTTGACTGCATTTAGGAAATGTGGAAGCAAAGTATTTTTCTATTCAAGAGGAGAAAGCAATTTGTTGTGTAATAGGAGGACCCAGGGGTTCTGTGGGAGTGATTAGAGATATTTTTATTATTAAGTTGGCAATTTGTATCTGGTAAGGTTTAATTTGTGATCATTGCCAGCAAATGTGGGAGAAGGGTACCTGAGGCTAGTCCACATCTCCAACATATCTAGGAAGTCTTGGTATCACACCAACCTAAGTGCACTGGGTCTCTGTACTGCAGAGCTAAAAGCCCAAACATACTCCCTGATTATTGGTAGTAATAGAGGAGGTGTGATTTAGTAGCAGAATAATGGTTTGGTGTTCATCAGAGGGAGTATGAAATAGTTACTTTTTCCAGGAAGCTTGCATGTGCAGATGCTATGAGTATTTTGTACAGCAATAATATGCCATAAGAGGGACCAGCCATGGGTAGAGAGGCTTGCTTCATCAGTATGAGAAAGTCCAAGTGTTGCAGAGGTTTTGTAAGGCACTTAACAAAATGATTGAAGACCAAATCCAGGGAAATTAGAGGTTTCCCCTGCAGTGGGGCTACCCCTTCACTGCCAGGACTAACTGCTCGTTTTATATCTAGCTGTTTTACTTGCCTAATCCCTGCTCCCTCCAGGCTGCTAGGATTCCGGAAGCCTCTTCTCCCCTTTTGTTCTGGGCTGCTGACGTCATCAAATACAATGCAGGCTCCAAAGCCCTGCATTCTCCGTAAAGATGCAGAGTGACAGTCTACAGCCAAAGTGGAGGGGGAGGAGAGGAAAGCGCCTACTTCCGGATGAGCAGGGGTCAGGCGAGTTTAAGCAGCTTTTTGCTGTCCTCTAGGCATAAAAGCGTAGTTTCCAGCAGAGTCTAGGAGCATGTCCCCCTCATCTGTTTCTTAGTTTTGATAGGTCAAGTATCTTGTCACCTCTTGTCATGTGGTGTAGTCGCAGTATTCCTTCTGTAGGCAAGTATTGGAAAGCTCTTTTTTTCTTAACCTCTGGTGGATTGGCGATTGTCCAGAATGGGCAAAGTTGCCAGTTGTGGCATGTTAGAGCCAAATCCCAGGCTCTTAAGTGTGATGCTAGTCGTAGGGTCCATGGTGGAGGCCAGGTTTCTGTGGGCTTTGTTCATCCAGAATATTATACCCAGTTTTTGGCCTGCTAAAGCTTCCTCAACATCTATCTACTGTGTTTGAAATCTCTGTAAAGTCTTATTCAAAGTTTTTTATTAAGCAGTGTCGCTTCATATTTTCCCACATTGGGGAAAATATTGCTCTTGTCAATATTCTGTATGGGATACTAGGTTTGTTGTGGGTCCAAATAAAGTCGGTGAGTTTGTGGTTCAAGGATCTGAAGAAGCTTACTGGCAGTGTTGATAATATTGGAAATGAAAACAAAATGCAAGGTATTATTATATTTAAAAAATGCTCAGGTCATCCAGTTTGGTTGCCTAGAATCTGGATGTTCTGTTTGAAGAGCTCCGTATAGTTTATGGTTAGAGCGATGCCTAGGCATTTCACTGTGCATCTTTGTCAAGTAAATGGGAACCACATTAGTAGATGAGCCTTATATTCAGTATCTTGGATTTTGCAAAACTGATTTTGACGTTTTGAGAGTTGACCAAATCTGTGTAACTCATGCGTAAATATTGGGAGAGTTATTTTAGAAGTACATTTATATAATAAGACACCATCGGCAGCCATGACTCTTGATTTAAGCGCCTGGGTGCATGAACTGTGTTGGAGGTCTCATCCCCTATTTAACATTTTATGAATTAACAAAAGTTGTTTTGGAATAAGCTGGTGTGCAGTAATTCATTCTACCCAAAATAGGAAAATGCCAGTTTATGATCAACGTGTCCTATATGCATTCCTGCTATACCATTGTTACAATGAAGTGTGGCCAGTGAGCCACATTCAACACAGATGACCGAGAGCAGAGGGTACAATGGAGAGTCCTGGCTTTCTCCATTACAGAATTCAATGCAATCGGCTGTTCAAGGAGCCATAATCCTAGTTAGCATATTAGTGCCAAGGCCCATATGCTACAAGGTCATGGGCAGAAAGGACCAATCCATACAATCATATGCCTTTTGGTTATCGGTCGTTAGGAGCAGGGGAACGTTACGTAAATGAGTAGTGTGTAATAAAAACTGATCATAGGGATTTATCTCAGGGTCATCTCCCATGAACAAAGCTTGCTTTGCCCTGGTTGATTCAAGAAGGTTTGAGGGAGGTGAAGTGGGAAGCCATTATTTTTGCATATATTTTCATATCAACATTGATCTGAGAGTGTGGCCTATAACTGACACAGTAGAGGGTCTTCACCTCCCTTTTGTGATAACTAATACCTGCTAATATGGATCCTGTGCATAAAGGCATGTCCAGGGTAATCCATTTCGTAAGGGTTCATAAAGAAATAGGGGACAGGATCTGTTCAAATAGTTTGCCAATCGGTAAGAGTTCAGGAGACAAGACTTAATGTGTCTTAAGTGATACAGAACACTGGGGTCAGGCTGACTGAGTGAGTGATAGGCATAAAAAGAACAAGGGAGGGATAACCAGGGTTGGATAAGTGTATATAGCCTTTGTAATTTTAAGAAGGGCAAGTCCCATTGTAGATTTGTATAAAGTGTAGGACCTAGGCAAGTTCCATTGAGGATCTCCTCCTTTACGATCTAGGGCTTTTGTGGTTGGCCCCCTGCTAAGATGATAGAAGGGAGTAGTCCAGCCAATCCAGGTTTTCATCCTAACCCTGGAGTTGTGGAGCTTGGCTGTCCATCGCTATCCCTCTCTCTTCCTTTGGTCGTCTGCTGCTTAGGTTCTTCTAGATTGAAAGCTGGCCCCCAGCCTGTGCTGCAGCTCTCTGCAGTGAGGTACTGCCACATGAAGCCTTATCAAACAGCAGCTGGGGTAGCAGAGGGAGACGCTTCCATATTGACCTTTCTTCCCAGTAGTAGTTGCGGCCATTATGGCACCTCTGGCTGACTGTGAGGCTGTTTATATTGGCAGGGAAGCATCTCGTATTCAGCTGAGTCAGGTGCCTGAGCTGGAGTGCTTACTACTACGTCTCTACTCCATCTTGGTCCGGCCATTCCCTCCATATGTCATGGCATGTGTTTATGGGCTGGGATGGGCAAATGCAGCATGCTTTTGACATCAGTGAGACATTTGTGAGGTAATTTAGAATTATTTGCAATTGACCTGCCTCAGCTGCTTTTGCATTCTTGGGCGTGTATGGGGAAAGAAGCACCTTTTTGAAGCAAACAAAATTCCATTGACGCATGCCCTAAATGAGTTCTCATCTCACGTTATACTTTTTTCTATGGCCTGCACTTCCTAGTAGTTTTTCCTTAGGGATACATGGAAAATCCACTGAAAGTGCATGTGTGTCCAGACTATAGACATTAATTTCTTATCCTGAACAGGCGCTAAAAACAACCATCACTCACCTCACTAGCTTCTTTTAATGTGAATGTATTCACTCCCAGAGATCACAGACTTGAAAATCTGGTTTCAGTCCATTTTAAACAGCTTGGCAACATCTACTGCTCTCCTAAATAAAAACCCTAAGATTGCAATGCTTGTGTTGTGAACTTTGAGAATGAATTTCTCCACAATGGTTAAAGATACAGAGATCAATTAGGGTTTGCTTTTAAATTGATTTACTGCTTGTTCAGAATATGTAAATACTTTAGTGTTCATGAGCACAGGTTCACTTTGAATTGTGTATGTCAGAGCAAAAAAACTATTTAGTACATATATCTCCAGTACATGCTCATTTCCCCATGGTTTAGCCCTTTGAAAATGCTAAGTGCAGAAAAATACCATTTAGTCTGCTGAAATTCCAGTGTGCCAGGCACTAGATTGCTGGGCTTTTGCTGGAACATCGTGTATATTAGGTTGTATATCTACTGCCTGGCATTGTTAAGGAGTTAAAGAGCATATTTAAACATGCTTGCAATATAGGTTAAGTAGATGCCTGTATTTTATTATACACAGCTGACTTTCTGTATAAAAACCTCACCCCTTTCATAGTAAAGTGGTTTTATATTCATACATTCCAAGCCTACAGTTGTCTTTTTGCATGTTGTAGGTGGATTTTGAAAATCCTGATCTAGAGCGGTTTCCTAACTACAGGAATGTGGTTGGTTATGAGACAGTGGTGGGACCCGGTGATGTTTTGTATATACCTATGTACTGGTAAGACACTGTATAATTGCACACTTTTGTGTTCGTTGTGATATCTTTTTCATTAGTGTCATTATATTTAAGTAAGACATGCTACTTATTTTATGTCATATTATTTATAAGGTTAGATTCAGTATGTTTGGATGTGTCTGTCACTTTTTTACTTTTTTTAAATGTTGGCATTGCACTTGTATTCTAGTTGTCATATGTCCAATTCGAATCCCTGCCTAATGACAGTTTTAGTAAGTTGATTAGTTGATTTACCCTGTTAGGACATCTGCTGTTTACATTCAGGTTACACCTGACCTATAGACTTACATGAAGGAGAGGAGAAGGCAAGCACAGCCACTGCACATCACTAATGAGCAGGAAGCAGCACATGCATTTGTAATGAGCAAATATGGCTTCCCCATGTACAGGTATATTTAAAAACTAAACTCGGAAGATAAGTTCATATATAATTAATAGAACATAAATACACTTGCACATATTTTGCTAGATCTCAATTTTGGTGTGCTTAGCAGATATAAATTCATGTCTGCTGTAATGATGACCACCTATGTTTGAGCTGAGTTCTGTTTACCACAGCTTTGAACATAGGAGAGATGATATTGTACACTCTGCTTTTATAGATAACAAGTGTTTATGAAACTACTATCTCAACTACCGTTATTAAAATTGTTGGGTTTAAATAATCTCAGTTTGGGTTCATTGAAAATTCTTTTAAATATTATATTTTTATAAATGTAACCATTATGAACAAATGCCTACATGAAGGTCCTCTCCCCTTCCAGAGGTGATCTGTTCTGTACTCAACTTGAACTTTTGTGTACAGGACCACAGGAGAAGTTAACATTTAAGGCTTATTCCCACCAGAATGCATTAAAGTGCATTGCATTTTTGAAAGACTCCATTAAAAGTGACTGACTTGAATACCAAGTTTGTAGGTCATTGTACTCCATATACGACATTGGCGGGACCACTCTCTGGTGGTAAGTGGATATTCTGATGTTCATGCATCTTATCTGCACTGGAAACATTAGAAAGATATTCTGTATAACTAAGAATCCGGTGGGAATGAGCTTTTAGGTTTGTTTGGACCCTATGTGGTATCATTAAGATCTCCTGTTGAACCTTCAGTGAAAAGAACGTGCTTCAGAATCATAACCTTGACCTTGTGAACCATAAAAGTCATTAGTTGGGCTTCCTAAGGGTCACACCATGTAATTTCATTGCCTGTTTCTTACAGTGATTGTGTACTACTCCCTTTCTTGTACTGGTGGTTTATTGTCCCAGATCCAGTTACGTAGAAATCAAAATAAAGCATGTATAATTTATATTAACTATTAGTCTATATTACAGGTGGCACCATATTGAATCGTTACTGGATGGAGGGGTAACAATTACAGTAAACTTCTGGTATAAGGTACGTTCAGTTCTAGATGTACCTTTTTAAAAATGAATTGACATAAATATTTTGATAAGAATGTATTCATCAGTAGACGGGTTATAGAAACCATAATGGTTGTGTATATTATTCACTACATACTTTCAGGAAATTAAACATGTTTACTTCCTGAATGTAACTAAACTTAATGACATACTTGTTGCTATACTATCTTGGCTATTGAATGTATTATTTGAATGTAATTTAAGTATTGCATTTCATGCTTATTTGGGTGCATTCTATCCTGTTAGGGAGCCCCAACCCCGAAAAGAATAGAATACCCACTGAAGGCTCACCAGAAGGTAGCAATCATGCGAAATATTGAAAAGATGCTTGGAGAAGCCCTTGGAAACCCACAAGAGGTAAGTGTGGACTCTTTCAAACTAGTGTTAGGCCCTTTTCTGGCAACTTTCTTTTTTACTGA